TACCTATCGCCGTCTCGTCTTCGATGCCCTTCATGGATTGTCTCATCCAGGTATCGCAGCCACATTACGTCTCATCGCTGCACGATACGTCTGGCCGTCCATGAATAAAGATGTTCGTATGTGGGTAAAGCAATGCTTACAGTGTCAACGATCAAAAGTGCACAGGCACGTAGCTGCCCACATTGGCACGTTCGCTACGTCTGATGCTCGCTTTGATCACGTTCATATAGACATTGTAGGACCATTGCCACCATCGCATGGGTATGATCACATACTCAAGTGCATTGACCGTTTTACAAGATGGCCCGAAGCTATTCCCATCACGTCTATCACGGCGGAGACAGTTGCTCACCGCTTCGTGGAACGATGGATAGCATTGTACGGTTGTCCTTCGACTTTCACGACTGACCGGGGACAACAATTTGAGTCCGCATTATTCTCCTCGCTGACCCGGCTGCTTGGTACGGAACGCATACGCACCACCGCCTACCATCCAGCATCGAATGGTTTAGTCGAAACGTTTCATTGCCAACTTAAAAGTGCCCTCCGAGCACACGAAAACGACAATTGGTACGAAACCTTACCGCTCGTTTTCTTAGGCATCAGAACGAGTTTGAAGGCAGATATTCAATGTTCCGCCGCTGAACTTGTATACGGCACGACATTGCGTCTGCCTGGGGAATTCTTCACACCACGGAGCAGTAATGATTTCGGTAAATCAGACTACGTCCATCGACTGTCTGCATTTATGCGACCGCTGTCTCCGGTGTCAACTCGAATACAACATCGACAGGTCGCTCTCCCTCGAGAGTTATCTACCTGTTCACATGTTTTCATACGAGTAGATTCGGTACGCAGACCTTTGCAACAGCCTTACGAAGGACCTTTTCACGTGATCTCTCGTCACGAAAAGACCTTCAAGGTTGATCGACACGGCCGCGTCGAGATCGTCAGCATTGATCGTCTCAAACCAGCACACGTCGATGACAGTGCCCTACCCGATAACTTGAGACTCAATGCTAGACCTATCAAACCTTCAAGCGGGATCTCTATGTCTACCTCGGATCCCACGCTAGATACATCAGAGACCTCGATCTCACGCCCCGGTCAACAGCACGCGTCATCTGCACCATCTACGGACGAGACTTCCGTCTCACGTCCAGATCGGCAGACCACGCCGCCCTTGACCTCGGATGAGATCGCAGGCTCACGAAGTACGAACGAGACTACCGTCTCACGTTCCGGTCGCCGAGTACGATTACCCGTACGCTTTCGCGACTAACCGCACAGTCAATAATGGATACGGTGTAGGATTATTCCTATACTACACGCATGCTACACTTTTCTTTTTTTGATTTTTTTGTATCCTGAGCCCACGCTTCCAACCATCACCCGTTTGGTAACGTCGACATATTTAAGTTGATGACAAACATGAGACCATTTTTCTGCTTCCGCCGGCTTTTCTGCCTCCAGCGGTAAATATATCACAAACGATAACAAATTTGCTAAGTCTACTCATACCTCAGCCCATCCATCGAGTATTTAGGGATTGACTGCTTGCAATTTATTATCTAACCTGCTTCTTTACGATACCACTCAGTTTCTTATTCTTTCATTCAACACTCACTCTTTCACCAATAAAACTAGTCATCTTAAAACATTTTTACTTCTTGTAAACTCAAGCATTGTACTTATTGAGGAAACATCTACATTCGATCACTTTCTAAACAAAGATACTTACGTTTTCTCTCAATCTGGCTCAGAATTATTATTGAATAGTGTTGTTTTCTCGTGGTTATCTTTATTTGCTATTGATGATTTCACTATGTTTCTCTATCAGTTACTCATTTAGTAAACACCTTAAAACATCAGTCTAATTGGAGATTTAGAGACGCCATTATACATGTAGCTCATCAGTACAAGCAGTCAAGTAAATCTCTTGCACACTGAAAACATTACTGTCCAGTTTATCTCAACACTGACAGAGGTTCATGCCATCATCATAGACATGAGTTGAGAGTTGTACTCCCTCTTGGTTACAACTTATGTTCTCCCTGATAATCACATGAGCATCACTCACTGTTTGTCATCTTGTATAGATTGATATAGCTGAAAGCATCTCATAACACCACGTCACCAATATTTGTGGCGCATAAGCTTATTTGATCTCAATACCTTATAATTATTCAAGTTTATGCAAGTCTATTTCTATGTTATCACAAACTTGATACTTGCAACTGACTTATATGCATCACCAACCAGTATGTATAAGTATGAATAATTCGTATATTGCACATAAGAATGTTGAATTTAGAGCATGCCGAATAACTACTATAGTAGTGAACAGAACACAGGTGGGGAACAATCGAATGTATCTGACACAAAATTACAGGACTTGCTAATAAAATCTAACAACTATACAGTAAATGCTTGATTTGAAAAATGTCCATCACTTGTCTCAAAAAGACTCAGACTTCATTGTTCTGCACTTTCATGTAAATTGCATTCTGTTTCCATGATTTACTGTTCGATCCTCTTGTCTCTCTGCTGCCAGACATTCTGTTCACGACTAACATCACATCCTACTTATGTCGATATAAGTAGCACACACCACATCATCAGCTATCTGTCCGAAATTCACATACTCATCACTTTTCAGAATTTTTGATAACCATTCATATATAACAGTAGTTTTGTTAATCCCTATTACGGCTAAACAATAACGAAGTCGAGAAAATCCTACAACCAAATAAACCGTATTGAACTTAATAAACCAATTGGAGCACATGTTGGAATCCTTCCTCTCCATGTTTATACTTTGTTCCCTCACTTAGCCTACTTATGCAGATGCCGCTGGAAATTAACCCATGAGAACAAAATACCGGCATAAACGTTAACTGACCCTATAATTTAAACCAAAAATGATGTCAATGTCAACATTTCTACAATACTGATTAATTGTTTATTTCTTAGCACAAATTACTTATACTGCTTACAACTTGAGCCACTAGCCAAAGGTTATTATGATGCATATTAATGTGACTTGTTAAAATATATCTATACTAAATCGCTGTTCACAGTTACAATCCCGCTTTACTTGACGTATAAATAATGCGCATATGAATTTTCAATGTAAGCGTGTAAATTATACAACCAAACATTTTGAAATTATTATATATATTTCCAAATCAGCTGCTACTGCCATTTTCATTTATCTTTCAGCCCATCAATACCTAGAGGATTTTTGTGCTACTTTTGGTAACCTCCTACTCCATTTTACTTCAAACTCACCGGTTATTCGGACAATAATTGCTTGTCCTGTTCGGATAACCAAAATTAAATTACAACAAATAGATAATTTGATTGTGAACACGAGGTCATTACCGAAGTCAGCGTCTCTATTCGCGCGATAAAATCATTATTCCCTTACTGGATAGATCACATGAAATTTGTCCATAAAGTAATATTTAACTCTATGAATATCAATTGTGAGCTTAATTAATTGCTACAACAATGAATGTTTCCAATTCTGAAAGAGTGGTTTAATTTTCGAAAAATAAATGCGCGATTGCAGTCAGTTCGAGCAACATATTCAGAAAAGTGAGCAAATCAACATGGAAGCCGTCGAAACCAGCTTCGAGTAATACAACGTTGATGTAGTCAGTAGGAATCAAAGCAATGCAGTGGCAGCGCAAGTAAACCAAAAACCATAATGAAAATTGGTAGTAACCGTATAATTTAGAATAAAAATTTCGACGGAATGTACAGCTAAAAGGATCAAGAAGTATGATTCCACGTTCAATAGTGAACCAACAACTCACATTCCGAAAGTTTTTATGTGGAGAGATTTTCATGCACACTCACATAAGACTCTCCAATTGGTTATTTAGTGGCTCTTTATCAGTTAAATAGTATGCTGATTGTATTTGAAATGTACATGACACCAACCGTCGTATATTTCTATCGACTTCATTCGTGTTAGAAAAATAACGCAATAAAATAAGTCAAACACGAGAATGCATTTTAAATACGTATATTTTGTACACTTATTAATCTGAACAGACAAGCGAAGCGAAACGAAATGACGCGTTGTGGAAAAAGTAAGTGAGTCAACTCGATTTAACCAAGTGTGACTTAATATTTATAGTCAGAACAAAAATAAGTTACAGACAAAGTGAATAGGATAAGCAGTTGAGACACACACGAACATGTAAAAACACTGAGGGTTAATAAGCGAATAAGTAAGGAAGTCAAAAATTAGATAAAGAAGGATGAAAAATTGGTCTGTCCGGATGTCAGGATAATTTATGCAGGCTTGACATAGTACCAGCCACTACAAGCAAGGTAAGCAAGTGACTACAAATGGTCAGATATGCGAGGATATGTCCCACACGTATACCTTTAGTGATACCCACAAAGATATCCACTATTATTTTAGAGATTAGTGATACATTTCCGATTAACACCTCCAAAAGTTATCGTTTTACTTTAACTAAAGGAAAGGTTAGAAGTCATGCAACTTTTGCTGGGAAAATTGACCATCAGATGATAAAAATCTGAGGTGACAACTGTGTGAACGCTTTTCGTTCAATATTTTTAGCAGATTTGGATCATTCAAAGTGAGTATAGGCTATTTGATCTTATGTTATCAGACGAAATCCATTTACGTTATATCAATTGTTGTACTCAGCTGACATGCGTTAACCTTCATTTAACTAACCGAAAGTTACAGTTGGCAGGAACGAGAAAGTAGGTTTTAGAAGGAAGTGTACTTGTATGAAACTACTGTACTGACTATCAAGAATATGGTAAGGGCATCCTGTTTGAGCGATAACTTATTAAATAAGGACAGAATCATGTTAGTGGAAATCAAGATATTCAATTACTCCAGGTCTTACAAGACAAGTGGCGATATTAAGCACTTACGAGAGCGATTGATGTGAAGGAAAATAACGTGATATAACAGTATATTGAAATTTATTGTTAATCCCTATAGGTTGCGTTAAACGTCTAAGGTTGTTGGGCGAGCGCCTGATTTGTAGACTGTCACTTGTTTCGGAGCTATCAGTGATGTCATTTTTCGAATTAGTTCACGATGCACCACCAATCGAAGTATATGCACTAACAGAAGCATGTAATGAAGACAAAGATACCCACAAAGTTAACCTTGGCGTTGGTGGTAAGTTTTAGGTGTTCATGAAGAATAAAAACTAAAGCTTATCGCACAAATGAAGGCAAACCATGGGTTCTACCTGTAGTTCGAACGGTTGAGTCTCTCATGGCAGCTGATCATAACCTTGATAAGGAATATCTTCCAGTATCTGGTATTGATATTATGTGCAAAGCGGCGACCAAACTCGTCCTTGGGGAAGATTGTAAACTGATTGCTTCTAAAAAGGTAATTACATTCACCTCTTACTATCCTCGTACTAGGCAGACAGTTGTCAAACGTTGGGAGGAACAGGTGCGGTGTATTTGGCTCTTCAGTTCCTATCAAACATTTCCAAATGTACTACTGTCTACATTTCCGACCCTTCATGGCGTATGCAAATGTTGAATAATAATTTCTTTAGCTAATCACAAGGGTATATCTCTCCTTGTCCGTCTTGATATAAAAGAGTATCGTTACTGGGATCCTTCGTCTAGGAAGGTCAACTTTACTGGGATGTTAGAGGACCTAAACAAAGCCCCTGAACGAGCTATTGTCATTCTGCACGCCTGTGCTCATAACCCAACTGGGACTGATTTATCTCATGATCAGTGGAAACAACTGGCATTATTTATTAAGGTAAACTAATTTTCCCTAACTTGGGGCCCTTTTCATTCAATAAATCAAAGATATCTAGTTAAATATGTGAATGGATTTCATCAGAAAAATTGATTGTAAGATTTTGTAATTGGATTTAACATTTCCTTTGATACGTTTTCATATTAACTGATTGATGTGGGTCCGTTTCTTAAAACTAGAGGGTTGTAGGTATCATATCGCTAATTCGATCTTCATACCAATTATGAGACAGATCAATGATATCCTCACCTTCTCTGGCTGAAATAGATGTATGAAATAACATCACTGGAGTGATCGACAGATCGTTATTGAATTCGAAAAGCTACAGTATTTATTGAAAATATGCGTCCAAAAAACCACTTTTTAGGCTGATCGTACAGGCTAAAGGACGGACGCAAGACCAACGAAATTTCGAAACCTTTAAAATTTTATTCCCCGTTTCGATGCTGTCGATCAATATGGGTCTTTCTGATAGTTTCCCTTATCGGTGTGCACCCTTTTTTATTCACCATTTTTTCACGCATTTATTAATGTGAACCAGAGCAGATTACCTGGTTTTGTTCTGCTCATTAACAGCGGTCAGTCGTCGGATACGTTGCGTGATATGGGTCAGAGTCGTTCACAGTGGCTCAGATGCATTTGCTTTTCATCTATCCTTCAATTATGAATTCCAGTATTCCCTCATACATGCCTTTTCAATCTTCTCAAATCGTATTGCCGCCGTTTATTCCTTTTCACCATTATTACTTCGCTATTTAGTTCTTTTTCTCATTTCATCATGCTGATCAGTTATAGCAACTTGGAGCAACACCTATCGGAACCAGAATCTATGTCGATAGTGTTCTTATGTAGAGCGCAGAACGCAACTCGGATGCAACCTACTATGGATTTTACCATCAATCAAACGACATTTCATATAAACTACATCCGACAGATACGTTTGTAGCCTGGGTTTCGTAGATCGGAACTCTAGACACGGCAGTCTTTTGAATGATCATCTACGAATCATTGACCTTAATTTAAGAGTGATCGCCTTCTTCAGTTTTGTGCAGACCACAACCAACCTTTATCTATCTCGGTCTATTCGTGTAATGCACGTAAATTCTTAGCACACAAAATTACACGAAGCTTATCTAAGTACCGAGATACCTGTTGATCAAAGCATCATAACGAATTGGAGGCACAGTTGTATCTGATAACTTCCAGAAGTCGTTTCAACCCATTCGACGCACTGTCAGAAAGAAGTGCGATGTCAGTGAAACAATCTGTAAGGCTTATGGAGCAGGAATTAGCAACATCGAGGGCCATCCTGAAAGTTGGACAATTCAGTAGATCTGTTGCTTCAACAACGTTAACTCAACTACTTTGCTCCCTGGCGGGCGAACACTGATCCGACTAACGAAACGAAGGTTTATTGAAGACCCAACCACGCACGCATACACCTCAGGTAGATTGAAAAAATACAACCATTTTTCTCCATTGTACCGAACCAATAGTAGTGTCAGGGAATGTTTCACAATTTTACAATTCCTTTTAAATTTTTCTCCTGGTATCGAGCCTAAATAACAATAAAACAAGTATATCTATGTGAAGTTGGCCTGTTTCCTGAAGAGATTTTTGTCTTAACTACTTGGATGACATTGACTTGCAGTCCGACAAAACTCAGTTTATCAAAATGGCACTTAGTTAGGCATTAGTATCTGTAAATACTTTGTAACTTCGAAATGCAAAACACTGTTAAAAGAATGACGTTAATCTTTACCTGTACTCACTCTCTACGGTAAACTGCTAGAAGTAATAAAAAATTCATGTATTTAGTTAGTTGTAAGTTCCAGTGGTTGTGTGGCAGAAGACATCAATCCACGTATTGTAAAAGCAAGATTAACTTGCATCAATGTAAACCATTTTCAGCGCTGTTGTAATATTGATCTGGGTGTATAAGGTCAGGTTGATAACTGTTTGCTGAGACCAGTCTTCCTTTATGCTTGTGAAATCCGGGCCCTCCGACCTAAGGATATTCTGCAGCCCCCCTTGTTTAAACACTGTTGTTCCCAAAGAACTGCTCACATCCGGTGATGGCACTATGTTAACCGTACTGAGGTCTAACAATGTATATTTGGATACTGTTGAGAATTCAATTAGGACCATCTTAAAACACCGACTTCGGTGGTTTCGTCATGCTACACAAATGTCATCCCGGCGGCTTTCTTATAGAGAATTATCTCTCTAAGTCATGACTGAGTTAAAAACGGGGAGAGATGGTCAGTTTGTGACATGTCATCTTTGAATCAAAGGAAACCGTATACAACTGGCTCTGTCAGGTCTTCATGATTGGGGTCACAGAGGTCATCCAAACTAGTGATTTTGGACGCTGTCATATATGGCTCACAATAGAAATCAGTGGTGATTCTGTTGTAGTTTTCTATCACTCGCTTTGTAATGTTAGACAAGCTTCTTTAAATGGAGGGAGTAATTTCGGGTGCATTTGTGACTGAACTGTTTCTTATTCGTCCATTTATTGATTGTACTACCCTTCTCTCATTTATTTCTTCGCAATATTATCTTGTCTATGTTTCCCCTTTCTTTGCTGACCTACTGTACCAAGTTTTACTTACCTAAATAATAAGTAATATATACTTTCCTGAATGCCAAATGTATGTTCTTTCCAATTCGAATTATCAGTGATTTCGTGATCTTTTACATTTATACTCAGTCTAAGTGTTAAGTTTCTGTTCACATCTAGCATTTTGTTTCTCGCTAGTACTTCAATCATTAAATAAATAGGGATTTTTTCAAACTCTTCATGAGTGGTTTGTTGCAATGGTAATTAATTTACGAATGTGCAAAATTTTACATCAAAACTCTTGCTTGTCGCCTGATTTTATTGAAATAGTCTTTTACTAAACACGGATTCTCGTGAACTCAATTATTCAGGTTTTAATTTCACTTTTACGATCATCAGATTGTGTTGATTATTTTTTGTGTTAGACGTTGCGAGATCTATCTAAACGTATTTACGTGACCATACATTGTTTTTCCTTGTTCATATGAGCAAATATATTCAGTAACCAAAGCTTTCTGGAGTATCTCTTAGTTTGTAGGTAGTCGTTACTTTAAATAGTCTGTGCTCATTCTTACAATATTAGAAGTCAACTGCGAACTGAACATTTCCATTTGATTCGAAATAATTAACGAGTGCTTTTTGAATAGTTTGTTTACTCACTTTATTTTTTCAGGAGAAAAAACTTTTCCCTGTATTTGACATGGCTTATCAAGGATTTGCTAGCGGAAACTTAGACAATGATGCGTGGGCTGTCCGTTTATTTGCTTCAATGGGGATGGAGATGTTTATTGCTCAATCATTTTCAAAAAATTTCGGACTTTATAGTTAGTTCTATATTATTGCTCTACCTTTTTCACACCGTATAATTCCTATTAAATATTGTGTTGATTTTACTAAATTATTTGTGTGTACCACTCTATTTTGGTAACTAAAATTAATCTACGGATAATCACATTCGTATAATGACTCAGTGATCCTCCACTGAAAATTCTGACTAATCAACTTTCGTCGAAATTACTACTCCTAATTCCTAATTAACAAGAGTAAAAACTATCTAATAACATAAATAATTTACTACCTTACTGTACAAATTTCGATCAAAGTTACAGAAAGGTTCCCTACGACTATTCATTGCTTCTATTTGTGCAAGTGAACGATATCACACGCTTTGCACCAATTAATTACAATATGCACATAAAAACACGATTATCAGCTACTGCTGTTGAAGAAAACAATCAAATGACTGTGTAATCCTGAAATTATTTCGAATCACCAAAAGCACATTTCATGAAGCTAGATTTCCACTTCAATTTCTCTAATAATCGCTCGAAATATTTATTATTTATTTATTTAAACACATAAATATTGGTACAAAGGGACACCGAATGCATGTGTGCCACACAAGTCACTTCATTTGTGTGTGGGCTGTGATACTGCCAGGGTGCCCAAACCGAACCACGTGGTATTCCTAGGCGGCCATACCCGGAGCCTTTGACCTAAGGGTCTGATCCACAAGGCAGTGGAGCAACGTCAGGAGATGCAGTCCCATGGTAGCCAGTGACGTACAATAGGTTCGTACGCCATTTGTTCCTTCAGGATCGTGGAGCCAACCCATATACACCATTGGTTTGGAATCAAGATTATCCAACTCCCCTAAGTGGAACCTCAGCGTCCACCAACCTTGTTAAAGAGCTGAACATTCTGTTTCCATCCTATCAATTTCGTAAAACGTACCCCCGCCTCCAGAAGGTAGTGAGTAGGATTGAAGTAAATTAAACCAAACTTTTGAAAAATAGTAATATTTCTTACCTTTCGGATTTCTCAAACCTCTCATACTTCCAGATTAATGTAATTTGTTATTACCATGATCTGTCTATCTAGACTTCTGTGCAACCTTTTTGTTTTCTTACACACTTTTTGCTTACCTGTTTTCAACAACTTTCATCCTGATAATGTTCAGAAATATCTTTAGGGATATCTCTGGTATTGGTGATTTGTCTGTGGTGTACCGCGCTTGCAGTTCGTTTTCATACTGACTTCTAATGTCACTGTAATTTTATTCTTTATTAAATAGTGATCTCTAATATCAGTCGGTCACATACTTCATTAGCACAACAAAATGAACACTAAATTCACAGTAGTTACTTTAATTGTAGTAATATATTAAAAAATGATTGTGTATAAGGATATAGTACAGGAAGAAAGAATTAGTTGGTAGAAAGAAAGATATAAAGCGATTTTAATCTCACAGTTTAAGGGATGACAAAGAGTGTATATACCTACGCCATTGTGATCGATTCTGAGCCATGTCACCCAGAGTCTCCAACCACCACTGATTACGATAGTCGCGCGGACCCAAACCGAGTAGTCTGCATCTACCAACATGGCTAAGACTTTAAGAGCTAATGCCACGTTTGGGTTTGGCCGCCCCTATCTTTCTTCTGACTATCCCTAACACTAGTCAGCATTGCGTGTCATGGTAACCGATGTTCGGGCATATGTAACAAATGGCCCAACCATCTCAGTCGATGAAGATTTACGACCTCATCAACTGATTTAACATCATTCTTTAATACTGTGCGCCTAACTTCACTATTACTTACTCAGTGGTCCCATAAGATGTAAGCAATACTTCTAAAAAATCTGTGATCAAACACAAGTAGCTTATGAATATCTTCCACTTTTAATGGCCACGTTTCACAGCCGTAGTGTAAGATAGAACGAACCGCTGAGTAGTATATTCGTCCTTTTATTGATAGACGAATATCTCGTCTCCACCATAGGTGACGTAAGTTGGCAAAAGCCGAACCAACTTTCTAAATCCGTGCAGAGATTTTGTCAGACACCAACTCATTAGGGTTGATCAGACTTTCAGGATAAGCGAAGTTGTCAACGCGTTCGACTGCTTCACTCCCTATCCTTAGTTCGGGTGTTGTCATCTAACAAACACTAATGCAACTAAGAATGGTGTTCAACAATGACACTAACTTAGTATGTACATCGACGCATCCCAAACATCCTGGCATTGTTTCTCAGTGCTACCAAAAGACTGAATTTTATCGGCGTCTTCGCCAAAGAGAACTACATCATCTGTGTATTCTAATTCGATAAGTAGATCTCCTGGGAGGAGATCAATGCCCGAAAATTCAGTCGACGAGAATGTTATTCCCAGCAGTAGGTCTACGATGAATTTAAACAAAAATGAAAGTAATGGACAGCCTTGTCGGACACCACTTGTGGTTGCAAAATGAAATTACAGTTCGCCATAAGCTCTGATTCTAATGGTAGTGTTCCAGTAAAGAGCTTTCACAAGGTTTATGTACTTCTGAGGTAGATCTTTCAATATATATAGTCAGGTGGATCTCGCTATAACATCATCATAAAGTTTGACTTGCTCTTAACCAACCACTGGCATTCTTAATAATTGAACTAAGCCATGTTTTAAATCTTGACCACGACTTTCTCTTTCAAGGAATGCAATCGACATTGCTTAACCGTCAATCTAAAGCGGTACACCTTTATACATGTTTACCGAGTTTGTTGAAAATGCAGTACTTTTGTTTATAATGAAGCAACGAAGTCTTTTTTATTGTATTACACTATTTTTTTCACGGTAGATTACTGTGGATTACAAACCAACACATTTACAGTAGTATTCATCATCTCTTATTCTCACTCCGAACATGTCGTCTAATAACACGTCATCTGGAAACTACTCAATCTTTAGGAAACTCGTTGTATGCTCCACTTCATATTCATCTAATTCGAATTAGGTAGTCGAATGCTGTCAATAACCTTCACATCACAAAACTTTGACTAAGACCCTTATACGTGAATCTTAACGTCATAGATACATTACATAAATAGTCAACTACTTTTATCAGCTCATTAAATTTTTGATTGTCCCATCGTATAGTTTAGGATGCGAAGCCATGCAAAAACGTATGAAATAGTGAGAAAAAATATTCATAAAATTTTTAGTGAGTATGAAATAATAGATATTGCTACTTCATCTATTCAATAATAGTTTTCGTTTCAGTGAACTTTACGTTATACTTTACGAACTCGTTAAGCACCTTCAACGCAATAGGTTGTTCACAATCGTTTTAAGATCCCCATGATATTAAAAGACTAATATTTGAATGAAGAATATTCTTTTCGATAAATTCTCTTCATATTCTACATTTATACATCTAAATTAATAATCCGAAAAATGGCCAGTTTAAGGGCAAATTGTATCGTTTAAAGTTAAAGCATGTGAATTCAGGATTGTCAAACAAAATAGAATAAACGTCATTATTAATCTTCCCAATATATGATTCATTCACTTCTCATTCATCCCTCCTTCTTACGTCTTACTAATTTTTCACACAATATAGCCTTCCACTAAACATTTGACCGAATTGATATTGCACTATTATTTTTCTCACCCTATCTGACCCATATTTATTCTGATCGTGGATCTTAAGTTTTCTCTTAACATATATGCAGATTCAAGTTAACATTCTGTATGAATCATATTAACATGAACAATTTTATTCTATTTTATTCAACAATCATAAATTCACATGCTTTAAACGATGCACTTTACCCTTAACCTGACCATTTTTTCGGATTACTAATTTGGATGTATAATTGTGGAACATGAAGAGAATTTATCGAAAAGAATATTCTTCGTTCAAATATCAGTATTTTAATATCATGGGGATCTTTAAACGTCATTTATTGTCAATAATATTAACTTTTACAATTCATTATTGCACTTTAAATCAAACTACAGATTACACAAAAAGAATATTTGTACCTAGTGATGCATGGATTTACTGATCAGTTAATTAAAATTTAGTGCATAATCTAGATGCACTCTATGTAATATTTTTATTTCAATAGAATTATATCAAACTTGTTTGCTGTTGGGGGTGTTTTGGTGACTACTTAAGAAACTTTAAAAAAATAATCGTATAGATATCTCATAAATAAAACAAGCATAATTTCAGACTTCAGTTATAGTTTATATCACAACTAACGAGTATGGATAGTTTAATTTAAATAAATAACTGCACACGTGTGTAATGAGGCCTCCGAAATAGTTGTATTTAAAATACGCTACTAATGCCATTTCACATGACATTATTTTTGTTCTTTGTATCAATCACTCAAGCTGTGTAAATAAAGTTTACTATTGTGGTTCTTGGTCAACCTTTTTATTTTAAGAATAACTGTACAAATAATCTACGTAGTCCTATTCATGTCTTTTATTTCTTGTTTTAGGTAAGATTTATTTTGAGTTCTCTTGTTTCAGCTAACATTTAATTAGTAAACAATACAATATGTTGTTCTTTGATTTAACATAGTCATGATATTTTATTTACCAAAAATCAATTTGAGTCGAAATACTTACATTTTTGAGTCACACTAGTTTTCATGTTAATCTGTCACATGTTATCAAGTAATTAAACTTTTATAGTTAGGAATTATTAGCTATATATTTTGTTCATGTATATGTGTATATGAGTGTAGTTTCATGTTTCATAGATTTATTTTACTATGTCAAATTTATTAGGAAAGTTGACTTGACATCGTTCAGGTTACTTGATTAGTTATTGATACTGGAACGTTAGCACCATACGCCAGATTCGTTATTTAAGTACTTGACGAACAATACAATAAAAGCTATCATTTATCAAATAGGTTTTTACGAAACTGTCACTGTCCTAAATGATCATCATTAAAGCTGTCGTTATTTAAATCTATTATGGTGACTAACATTAATCATAGTGTAGTATTGGTTTTTAATCGTTTTCAACATCATTCCCTCTAAAAT